CGACTAGTCGCTGTCACGTGATAATGACCGGCAAGATGCAGCCCTCGGAAAAGACAGCAGCCTGCTATCAGCAGGTGACAAGCTCCTGCGCTCGGGGGGGCAACGCGCTGTGTCAGAGCGTAGGTACTGACACGCGGTCGTTCATGTCGGTTCATTTCCTTTAATGTTTTCTGTCTTTTATTTGCGCCTGATGTGTATCGCTGCTGTGGAGCGGGGCGCATCACCTTGTCCTCCGACGCACAGATCACTGATGCGGCCGCCAAGCAGGGAGAGCTCCGCTGTTTTCGCGGTCGGTAGATCTGCCTCCTGAGCACGGCCACAGTAACAATCAGGTGTCACCACCTCAAAAACTAATTTAACACACGATTGTTCATGTCAGTTCATTTCCTTTAATGTTTTCTGTCTTTTATTTGCGCCTGATGTGTTTCGCTGCATGCTGTGGAGCGGGGCGCTGCGCGCATCACCTTGTCCTCCAGTGACGCAAATTCCACTACCTCCGCTCCGCTCCACTCCGCTCCGCTCCGCTCCGCTCCGACACAAACGCCGGAGCAAAATCGGTCCCGTTGTAGTCAATCAGAGCAATTCTACTACTGCGGCCGTGCTCCGGCAGTGCGGCGCCGTGCGCCGCCCTCTGTTCCGGCGTCCGGCAAAAATAGAATCGATCCTATTTTCGCCGGAGCACCTCCGCAGTCAATGGACAGAAATCACAACGGCCCAACAGGAAAAGGAGCAAGCACAACTTCCTTTTTTCACAATAAATCGATAAACAAAAGGCGTTTTTTGTTTCATATGCACAGGTTTAACAACTTTTAACAACTATCAATGGCGGCTGAACTTTAAATGCACAAAAATAAGCCATAAATACAGTTTCTACTGTCGAAGTAGTCACACTTGTTGATCCAAACACTGCTGATCTCTCAACACAAATGATGGGCAGATTAAACAGTTCATGTTGATGCTTCTCCCACACAACGGGTGTTTGGATCTAACTTCCGCGTTTATTGCTCGGACCGTATGATACGGCGCCAAGCAGGGAGCGCTACACTGTTTTTGCGGTCGGTAGAACTGCAGTTCAAAGGTAACTCATAAGGTGAATATATATGAACCCAGGTAGCAGTTTTTCTTTAGGATTGAGAGGAGATGCAGGAAGATAATAAACAGGCAGGACAGAAAAATAGTCAAATAAAAACAAGTTAGTTTTTGTACCTGCTGGTTGCAACAAACAGACACCATTGAAGGTAATCAGAAGTGAGGAACAGAAAATGAAATAATTATTTTAATGTTTAGAGCAGCAGGAACTCTGAGAGGCTGCAGGCGCATCAGTGAGTTTGCAGCCGCTGCGCAGGGGGAGGGGGGGAGAGGGCTGAAGCAGAAACTATTGTTGTTAAAAGAAATGTGTTTAACTTTGAAAATGTGGGCACAATTTTAATTGTCAAAAACTCCAGCGAACCATTAGTTCATTTTGCTCAAATAGAAATAGAGGCCTGCCTCTAATACTGGCCCTCCTTCCAATAAAGGCCTGGAGCTTGATGAGCTTGAGTCAAATACAGGCCCAGGCCTGTATTAGAGGATTTACGGTATTAATTCTTGATCATTGATTCAATCAACTGAATGTAAATGTATTGCTCTATGTCACACACACACACACACACACACACACACACACACACACACACACACACACACACACACTTGACTTCTCTCTCTCTCTCTCTCTCACACACACACACACACACACACACACACACACACACACACACACACATACACACATACACACACACACACACACTCTTGACTTCTCTCTCTCTCTCTCTCTCTCTCTCTCCTCTCTCTCTCTCTCTCACACACACACACAGTCATGACTTCTCTCTCTCTTTCCTCTCTCTCTCTCCCCTCTCTCTCTCTCACACACACACTCTTGACTTCTCTCTCTCTCTCTCTCTCTCTCTCTCTCTCTCTCTCTCTCTCTCTCTCTCTCTCTCTCTCTCTCTCTCTCTCTCTCACACACACACTTGACTTCTCTCTCTCTCCTCTCTCTCTCCCTCTCTCTCACACACACACTCTTAACTTCTCTCTCTCTCCCTCCCTCTCTCACACACACACACACTCTTGACTTCACTCTCGCTCTCTCTCTCTCTCTCTCTCTCGCACACACACACACACACACACACACACACACACACACACACACACACACACACACACACACACACACACACACACACACACACACACACACACACACACACGACCTCACTTTCATTCCTTTCTTATCTCTTGGTATAAATAAACTCTGTGTCCAGATGTTCGAGACATTGTGCCTCGTGCATGTGCCACAGTTATAACTGGTTGACTTGTTGTCTCACTGTCTCCTTTTCTCTTCGACTACAGGAAATGGGTTATTGATCAACATATTGATGAAATCCCTAACAGGTAAGAAAACCTGCATGAAAAACGGGATTTGGAAGTAAACAAACATGTCAGAGGAAGAGCGAATGGCGGGCTTCCATCACCTCGCTTTCTGATTGGCTCAACCTCACATTCAACAGGTAGAAACGTTATTTTGTCCCTGACATCAAGACAATCCAGCATGTTTGAAATCCCGAATTAATGATCGGAGCGGTCCAAAGTACTCTTGACACACCACAAAAGGTAAGATTGTCTTAAAATAAGATTATCTTCATAGCCTTTACGATGACCATGCAACAACTTTACGATTTCTGGAAGGGGCGTGGCTGGTCAAAAATCAGCATGATAATCCTGCCGGGGTTTTGTTTCTTGTTTCAGTGCAGATTATGATCACATTATGTGGCCCAGTGCAGCTCAGTATTTATCTACTTGTGCTGGAGACGAAGGACCCTGAACATTAGGCATTTGTTAATCAAGTGTATTAATGATAAAAGTTTTTAATCAGTTTGACCAGCACTCACTGTCCTCACAGATACCAAGAGAAGAATTAACACCCAGGACATAAGTGGAAATTATTAGACTTTATACAGTATGTTTGCCACCTTGAAACATCAATATGAGAAACTTTTAAAGCGTAGTTAAAAGTTTCAGCTACAGGTAACGCGTCCTGAAGGGCCAACGTGTTCGTGCATCAGCCAAAGTCCTCCTCCGTCACGATCAGACAACTCCACATGCAGATTTTGCTGAAGGTGTGAGATGCAGCC